CAAGTAAAAGTAAATAAATAAAAACATGAAGTTAAAGAAAAAAATTGAAATTTCTTTTTGCTTTGAATGAACTGAATTTTGATATCCAAAATTGATTTAAATTTAATAGACTTTAACAAAGCTACAGCCATAAAATAATTATTAAATTAAAATATTTCACTGTAAATATACATTTTTCCATAATATTTAACCTATATAAATAAAAATAAATTTTCTATTTTCTATAATTTGATATTACTGCCTGACCAATGAAATAATTCACCGAGAATAAATATTTCATAAATTTATAATTTTTAATTTACAAAGAAATATTTAAAATTTAACTTTTATTACGAATATCTTAACTAAAACCCCAAGGCCTATAATGAGAAACGAATTCTTACGTAATATTACTTTTTAGATGAATAATTTATTATTTTACAGAATTAAGTATTCTGGTAAATTAAGAAATCTGAAACTACATTTATTTCCAAAAACTGATAAATAATATTATTGGTTCTTAGAGAAGAAAGGCCTTAAGGAATCTTATTATTGGAATAAAAAAAGTTCGTTTTTTTATTTGACTTTTTTAATGGGTAAAATTATTTACTTTATAAGATTACTTTATAAGATTATTTTTTTTTATAAGATTACGCTTTAATGTACGGAGGCCGTATAGATTTAAAGGATCCATATTGAGACATTAAAATATCCAAAAGTAAAGATATTGAGGCCATAAAATATCCAAAGGTAAAGACGCACTGGCATACAGAAATTAAATTTTTCCGTTAAATAACCAAATTTAATTATTTCAGTTAAATAACCAAATTTAATTATTTCAGTTAGACATATGTAATGATCTCGGAAGTACACAGAATAAATTACAAAAGTTGTAATTTCAAAATATAAATTAAAACAAAAGTAATTTTAAAGGTTACTGTAATAACAAAAGAATTATCGCATTTGAAGTAGTAATGTTTCAAAAGTATTACAAAAATTAAAAAGCAACAATACTTTATCATAAAAAGAAAAATTAAAACAAATTTATTGTTGTATGCAGTTTTCATACGCATCACAAATAACACGCGAATGCATTTCTGTGATAGAAACTTACTTTAAAGAACTGTGCTCATTTTTTTGCCATTTCGCGAAATAACAAGAGCAAGCAGATTTGCGATCTTTTTTTTGTTTCCTGAGGTACATAAAGACATTCTTGAAATGCTTCCTTGGCAGGCAACATTGAATAAGCTCTGGAATCATATTGGCACCCTTTGAAGTACAGACGTGTACCGTATGATTAAAAGAGTGCACATACAACATTTAACACTCTTTTTGCTATTTTGCGAAATCACAAATAGCAACTACTAAGATTTGCGTTTTTTCCTTTGGTTGTAAGTTAAAGGCATTGTTAATGTGTCGCCATTGTCAGCAAGCCTGAATGAGCTCCGGGCTCTATTGTACCCCGTTTGACGAACAGCGACATTTTATTTCATAAAATTCTTGTCCAGAATTCGACAACCTCATAGATATGTGTCGTGTAATGTTATTGTTGCTTATTCCACTTGGTCGACAGCAATAACTAGTCCATGAACCAGTGTGAAGGTGTTTTAATAGTATAACTTTTTTTAATAGTATAAAATTATTCACTTTATCAATATAAGATTACGTTTTGATGTAATGAGGCCCTATAAATGGAAGGGATCCATAATGAAGTCATAAAACATAAAAAGGTAAATACAACACCGTCATACAGAGATTTAATTTTTCAGTTAAATAACCAAAATCTAATTATTTCCTTAATAAACGTATAAATATTTCGTAAGTACACAGAAGAAATTACCGACGAGTCATGATGAAGGAAAAAAATGCAGTTTCTTTGTCCTTAATCTTGCAGCTCAATGGCACCCTAAGGGAGAAGTGTGACTTTACCCCACCCGGTTATAGAAATAATAAGTAATAAAAGAACAATAAATCTAATAAATGAAATTTCTATTTTTTCATTTCGTGAAATACACTCATGTCAATAAATTAAGGATAATTCAGAATCACACAGAAATTGAACTCTAAAATAAAAATTTCACCTGTAGAATTATCACACACATCTTGAAGAAGAATATGCAAATTACAGGAAACCACCAGATGGCGCGGAGAGTACGTCACAATGACGAGAGTGTAAGAGAGGGGTATATAAGGAATGGTGGCAAAGAAGTAAAATTGTTCACAAGCGCTTTAAAGCCTTTCAGTGCAATAACCGCATAGTTATGTCACAAAGGAAGCATTTGGATGATTTTTTACGTGGTAGAATCATCGGACGACTGGAATGTGGACGTACCCAGCTGGAAGTATCCGAGGAACTTGGAATCGCCCAGAGTGTCATCTCCAGGCTTTGGCAACGATTCCAAGATGATGGTAATGTGAGTAGATGTTGCAGCACAGGTCGCCCCCGAGTTACAACGCCGAATGAGGACCGGTATTTAGCAGTTACTGCCAAAAGAAACAGACGGAGCACAGTATCAGACCTGTCTCGTCAGCTCTCTTCAGCTACCGGCACGACAGTTTCAAGGCAGACCGTGTACATGACGCTTAGGGCACATTGGTCTATATGCTCCGTAGGCCTGTCAGATGTGTTCCACTTACCGCAACTCACTGTCGCCTGCGATTAACCTGGAGTAGAGAGCATGCGTGTGGACACCGCAACAGTGGTCTGGTGTGATGTTTTCCGACGAGTCCAGGTTTCGTTTGTAGTCTGATTCTCGACGGACTTTCATGGAGAGCGCCAGGTACCCGTTACCACCAAGAGAGCACCATTGAACGACACCGTTACGGTGGTGCAGGGATGGCTCGTTTGGGAGGGAATTATTCTTGACCTGCATGTTCAGAGTGTAACGATGACAGGCCACATCTATCGGGATGTCATTCTGGAACAACATGTATGTTTGTTTCGGGGCGCCATGGGTGCTGAATTTCTGTTTATGGATGACAACGCCCATCCTCACCGTGCAAACATTGTAGACGAATGCCTTCAATTGGAGGATATCACCCGTATGGATTGGCCAGCATACTCACCGGACTTGAATCAATAGAGCATGTGTGGGATATGCTTGGCCGACGAATTGCAGCCCGTCAACCCCCTCCACCTGTCAACCGGAATTTCGAGGGGGGCATTGCTTGATGAGTGGTGTAATATTCCCCAAGATCAGATTGATAATTTTACTCAGCATGCCTAGGCGTTGTAAGGCCTGCATTGCATCGTCCGGGAGACATACTCCATATTAACCATCATACTAACCATGTTATACTGTTTTTGTAAATAGGTTCTTTTTGAAATTTGCTCAGGGATTAAAAATCCAATTTTATTAATTATGTCAAACATATAGCATCTTTTGCTCTTTACCTTTTGTTTAATAAATAGACTTTACAAATAAGTCAAATTTGTTTTGCTTCTGTCTCTTTCTTTGCCTGAACTTTATTATCCTTAATTTATGGACATGAGTGTAGCATGTAGTAAGCAAATCTGAGATTTCTTTTACTTCAGGGAATAGGTTGCGGACATTGGAGAGTTTTGCATACCGTATTTTTTTATCGTCCGATATTTTTCTCCCTAGCGAGCATGCTCATAGGAAACATTATTACCGATACACATGCGCAATTTCCTATGAGCTTGCGCTAGGGAGAAAAAAAATATCGGACGATAAAAATACTCTATCCGCGCATCCTCATTCTTTCGTGTCTATCTGCGCGTCTATTCTTATTATCTATTCTTGTCATTGCCTGCAATTCTTAAATGAGCTTTGGCATTGTATTGCCAAAGTATGATGAACATTATTTTTAAATGTATTAGCAAAATTCGTAACTGCATAGACGTGCATCGTGTCAACATATTTAGGAAGAGGACATTTTCTTATTAAGCATTGTTCATTTTTATATCTGCAACACAATTACTTAAAAAAGCACTATTAGTATTTTTGTAATTATCAAGCCTTAAACAGCAATTAATCAACCGCAATCCTCAGTTATTTGCTGCCACTGAATCACAAATTATCATCAACTTAATTATTAATCGTCTCAGGAAAAACAAACATGATATACGCTTCTATCCATCATTTGTTAATGAAAACTATGAAACCCACTCTAGTACTTACAGCGAGGCCTGCTTGGCAGGTAAATAAGCGACAGTTTGCGTGACATCTGCGGCGTGCATGTTGTTGTGGTAAGGGTTCCTGTACCGCTCGTAACCACTTTCTATTTGCACGAGGAAAGATTCAGAGCAGAGGTTGATATCTGGAAAGAAAGAGAACACACAATGATACTGTTCGTCGGTGTAGGGGGTAGTGCACACAGAACAAAAACATTACCCTAGGAAATAATTAAAACAGCACGCAATGTTTACGATATGGTTGGTTTGCAATGTCTCTAATAACAGTGGAGAACTAAATGTTTAATGTTAATTAATTCTTAATAGTTTGGAAATAACTAGAATGGTGCTTGTAGCCACTTGTTGGTATGATCCGTATGAAATTATGGATGGATTAAATATTATTTAAATGAATCATTATTTATTTTTGTTAACTTTATTAAACATTTATGAAATAAAGTTATATTAACAGTATGAAACGGATGTTTCATACAGTTAATATAACGATATGAAATATTAGTTCATACTGTTAAAACATTAGTTCATACTGTTAAAACATTAGTTCATACTGTTAAAACATTAGTTCATACGCATTAGTGTTGTTGTTGTTTCTTATCCCACTTGGCTGGCCAAGCCCACGAGCCCATACGTGCTCATGATTGAAGGGGAAGGAAGCAGCTTCTGTTGTGATGGAACCCAGTAGGTAGAAGTCTGACTTTGGCTCCGTGACGCTCTTATAGTCATAGGAGACCGGGACCTACGGCTTAAAGTGGATTCGAACCACTACAAGCATCCATGGCACCGCCGGATTCGAACCTTGAAACCTGTGGCACCGAGCGCCAGGCGCTAGACACTCGGCCATTCAGGTCCGAAATTTGTGTATGCCAACGACACGCAGTGTTCCCAGGTGGTCACCCACCGAAGTACTGACCGCGCCCAATGATCTAACGAGAACCGGTATATTCAGCATGGTATGGCCGTTGGCTTATATTGGCTTACACATTAGTTCCTAACATTAGTTCTAACATTAGTTCCTAACATTAGTTCCTAACATTAGTTCTAACATTAGTTCTAACATTAGTTCATACACATTACTTCATACACATTAGTTCATGACATTAGTTCATAAACATAAATAATAAATTAAAAAATGGGATTTAAAAGATAAGAATTATTCATTTATGTTAACTTAATACTACGTAATTGAAAATCCCTTAATTAAAAGTAGTATATACATCATAGTATTTAGGCTGTTCGGATAATACGGCGTAAACTGCAGGGTTGGAATGTCGTTTGGAGTACATAAAGTTGCCTAAATAATCATATCTCTAAGATGCTTAGTTTTGAGAAAAGCACGATAGAAAAAGTATGGCGTCACATCCGGTTGATGAAAAATGAATTTTAATAGAAATAGGAATTATGGAATTGTATTTGATATGTTATTTACTCAGTAAAAGGTAGTCAGTGATCATTTGATCAATGTTTAAATACAAGCATGCATGGGTATAGTGCAATGGCTAATTGTATACGATCAACAAACATGCTCCCATCAAAGTAAAGACATTATGCAAAGGAGAAACTATGCCTTGTTCTGTAGTAAATAAGATTCCTTCAGATAAAAGCATAGGAAAAAAGTTCAAAGGTGACAGATCTGGCGATCAATATTGCCAATAGTTTCAAACAATGACAGCTGTTCAGCTAATAACAACAGTTGATTTGCCAGTAGACAGGCACGTATTGTCTATCTCTTGTGAAATTCTTCCTCATTCGCAAACCTGGGGGAAGGGGGTACAAAATGTATTTATTTTATTAAATCGTTTTATTTATCTTTAGTTTAACAGATTCACGCGATTTCCCTAAAACTTATTTTCTGTGCATCGAATGTGAAGTCATATTTAATCTTTTCTATAAAACGATGACGGGCGGTTATTCAGATAATTTTTACACATTTCGAACGAGAAATTTTTGCCCTGTACAATTTATGCCGTATTTGTTGTCAGAATACCATGAATAAACTTTTTTAAAAAATCACCTTTATATTTTCAGGAATTCCTTTTTTTGAAGTAAAAAATAAATAAATACCGTTCTTTATGAGTTTTGTATATGTCTTACGAATCAATATTTTTATAACTAACGAAAATATGTTAGATTTCATGAGGCAGCACGAAAAATAAAGGTGAAACGTTTTTTACCTTAAATTTATTGATGAGTCCAAATCTGTTGAGGAGGTAATGACTCATGTATCTCAAGCATTGTCCGCCGGCGACAGAGTTCAGTTGGAATACATCGAAGGACCAATCCTCGCTGTTCTAAATAAAATAGAATACAAATTGTTCACAAATGCTTTAATTACATGCAAAATTTACTAAACGTTTTAATTGTATTCAAAATTTACTAAATGTTTTAATTATATTCAAGATTTACTAAATGTTTATTTACATGCAAAAATTACTAAATATTTTAGTTACATGCAACATTTGCTAAATGTTTCAATTACATGCAAAATTTACTAAATGTTTCAATTACTTACAAAATTTACTAAATGTTTATTTACTTCCAAAATTTACTAAATAAGCTGATAAATATTCTATGAATTTCTATATTTGATGAATTTATTTTACTATATTCAAAATTTACTAAATGTTTCAATTACTTGCAAAATTTACTAAATGTTTTAATTATATTCAAGATTTACTAAATGTTTATTTACATGCAAAAATTACTAAATATTTTAGTTACATGCAAAATTTGTTAAATGTTTTAATTACTTGCAAAATTTACTAAATGTTTTCACTATATTTAAAATTTAAAAAATGTTTTTAACTTTACTAAAATTTACTAAATTTACTAATTTACTGTATTTAAAATTTACTAATTTACTATATTTAAAATTCACTAATACTTAAAATTTACTAATTTCACGCACAATTTACTAAATGTTTATTTTTGCAAAATTTACTAAATGTTTTAATTATATTCAAAATGTACTGAATTTTTTTAATGACATCCAAAATTGACCAAATTTTACTGGCTAAATGTTTTACTACATTCAAAATTTACTTTACATGCAAAATTTACTATATGTTATGTATGTTAATCAGAAGAAAATTATAAAGAATAAAAAAGGAAGTTGCTTTAAATTTTTCATTTAACTTTTATTTTATTTTCGAATATGCATTTTACGAAATGACTTGGAGAAAAAGTATCATGATTTTAGAATATTTATTCAGAATCAAACAGGAAACATTGAAAAAAAAAAGATTCTTACTGAAAACCTATAGTAAACTTTAAACTTAATGAAACTTATTTTAAACTTACTGAAATAAAATACTACTTATTTATCTAAAATAAAAAAATTTCTAAAAAAAAGGAGAGACTATGAGCACGAGTGATATTTTCACGGTTTTAGTAATATTAGTTATTATTTTTGCATAAATTTTAATTTTTACCAATTGATTTAAGTATACATTTTACATTATACATTATACTTCAAAAAATTAAAGGAGAGATTATAAAGAGCCAGTAATATTTCATGGTTTCAGTAATAAAAAATGTAAGTAAAAATAAATGTAAGTAATATGTAAACATGTAGTAATAATACATGTAACTAATATTGGTTATTATTTCTTGCATAAATTTTTATTTTTACTAAGTGATTAAAGTATGCTGTTTACATTTGTACACTATACTTCAAAATTTTTAAAAAGGAGATATTATGAGCATCAGTAATATTTTCGTGGTTTCAGTAATTTTGTTATAATTTCTTGCATAATTTTTATCATTGCTTACTGATTAAAGTATGCATTTTACGTTATGCATTTTTGTATGTAAATTGAATATTTTATTTCACATTATTTTGTTTGAAGAATTATTTTAGAGTAAACAAATTTCAAATCACGTGAACATGTATTTAATATTTAAAAGAGGAATAATTTAAAAAAACACGGGAGACTTCTCACTGTTATAAATAGGATTGCCTTAAGGGACCAAAATCATTTTTAATTTAAAAAAGTTAAATATATTTTAAAAGCATTTCGAAAAGTCATTTTTGATTTGAACAACTACTACAACAAATTAATTATTTCTACATGATGAGTTAATTAATATTTTTGTAAATTTAATTTTTGCTATGCGATAATCATGTGAATGTTAAAAATTAAATAGTTCAACGTTTAATTCTTTTAAAACCTATATTTATTAACATATAGTTTATACTGCACTTTATTTCCATGCTATGTGTTTCCAAAACTTTTTGACGACAAAATGTTTCTTAATTACTTTAAATTTTAACTATTTGACCTTGATACAGAATACGCCGGTACTTGACCAAATACTTGAATTTGATAACAAATACTTTAGTACTTGACCAGGTGCTTGACCTTGATACCAGATCTACAGAAACTGTTGAAGCATCAGTTCAATAGCCTCTGTAAATGAGGACAAGGTAGCTATCATACCGAATATCTGCTGATGCGCTGTACAAAATTTCAGTCGCAATTAGCCTTGTCAAAGAAAAATTTATATAGACAATCAATTTCCTAGTCTCAAATTTTGACCGACCTTGAAAAGTGCAGAAAAACATTCCGTTCTTTTTTTAGTGATTTTGTTATGCATGTATTTATATGTATTAATTTTCTATACAACGTTTATTGCACGCTAATATGTTTTTATGAATTTTTTATCCACTTAATCGATGCTATTAACTTTTCTATAATTAATTGATTTAATTTACATTTTATAAGCTTGTGGGAAACCTTGTGGTAAAAATTATATTATTTTTTCTTCAAATAATAATAATAAAAAATACGATGTTTAATTTCGTTTTAAATTATGTTTTATCAATTTCTGAAATACAACGAGATATTCATCAGAAAAATTATAAATGCAAACATACATTCACAATATAATCTATTATCTAAATATACAATGGTTAAGAAAAGCATCATAAATATGAAAAAAATTGTCTAGTTTTTTAATAATAGTTTTTATAGATATTTGTTCTTTAAGCTATTTAATTCATCTGATTCATTGTTTTAAAATAAAAATATGCCAATTGTGCATGGTTCAAAACAAAAGATTAAAATATCGTTAAGTGGGGGGACAGAATTGAGAGAGCACGAGATACAGATGGTTATCAAAATAATGGAAATAACCTGTGACTAAAAGTATCATTTAAGAATGGGCTTTGTAAGCATTAAAATGTAATCTTAACTAACAGGTTTTTAATGTAAAAAGTATATATCATGGTATTACGAGGTTTCTTAAGTGAAGTTGTGTTTATCTTGGATTTTGTCAAAAGTATAAAATGTCAGACCTCTCAGATTTTTAAAAGGCCAAACTGTAGGAGTCTGACTAGCTGGTGCAACTGTGACCGAAACATCCCCGCTTTTAGGCATTTCTAGAGGTACGATGTTTAAAGTCATGGCAGCGTACACACAGCGCGGCAAGACAAACTGGGCAAAGCAAAATAGTGAATGGAAGGAGAAGCTGAGTGAAAGAAACCGATGGGCATTGAAGTGGATTGCCATGTATAAAAAAAAGCAACTGCAGTTAAAATGACAGCTGAAATCAAACGGCATTTGGATTCTCCAACGTCAATAACTACAGCTAGGAGACATCTTCATAAATAAGACATTTATGGCAGAGTAGCAATTCCCCAAACCACTTGTTAGATCTGCTAATGCCAAGTGTCGTCTGTAATGGTGGCACAATCACAAAACCTAGTCGACAGGAAGACATTTTATAGGATTAGACGAATCATCTTTCACAAGACGGGTGCAAGTGTAAGAAGACATCTGCACATCTGTACGATCATGATTGTATCTTTCAACTGTCAAGCATGGATCTGTCATGGTATGAACAACCGTATTGTGTTTTCTGCTGGCCCAATCGTAACCTGAAAGAAGGGATCACTAGGCAGCTGTAAAAGAGAAGATTTAGTTGAACGGTCGCTCCTATAATTCAACCTTTGTTTCCTGCAGG